CGGAATAATATAATGATAGGTGGGCCGTACTAGAAAGCACTAAATATGGGGTGAATGTATTCGATATCTATTTGATTGATTAACTGACTGGAATTCTTTGAATTGCCGTATTTATTTATATATGAAGATCAATGATAATAATAAGGAAGCTTCGAAGCCAGGTAGAAATAAGGTATGGAATGGATTAGTTGAATGTTCTAGATTGAATTGAAGCAATATATACACTTGTATCTATGCACCTATACATCTTCACCCGGAATGTGATGGAATGTTTGAATAGCACAGAGGCTATAAAGGATCCAATTGATTGATTAGATATGAATCTTTCAATGACGTTAGATTTCCACCTACCCGTATACATATACACATATATACATACACACATATATACATACACACATATATACATACACACATATATACATACACACACATACACACACACACACTTCTCGGAGTAGCTGAGTGTATATAATCCACTACTCGAGTTATCGCCGAATAGTCCAGATGTTCATCTCCGGCCAAATGGTATACTTACTCACTCTAGAGTCTATACATTACAGGTACTTTTGCTCGTTCATTTGCCCGCTTGACTTGGACTATTGATTGAAGACATTGGAAGTTTGATCGACAGGAATGGCAAAATTCATGAAAATAATTAGAGTCAAATTAAGACATGATTTTTTTCATTATTCGTAAAAACAGGTATAAATGCCAATCCAGTATTATCATAGGTAGCTGGAGGTAATCAAACTAATCAAATAATAATCATCATTCACCCCTTTCTTAACAATTTGTTATTTGTTTCTGAAAAGTTGCCAAATACCTACATACGAGACTCTTCTCATCTATCCATCTACCCGTCTACCTATGTATCATATGTATTGGCCGCAATAATCCAACAGGGAATGACAAACGACCACCCATCACCTTCTTTGTCACTCTCGGACCCTCGTCATTACATATCAACCACCTCGAGCGAAACACACCCCATCCTAATAAATAATTCCTCAACTTTACAAATATTATTCTGGCATAATCCCACAACCTCACAAAGACTTTGAACACTTTGATCCAACAATAGTAATACGCCCATCATGTCCGTCGAAATCGATTCGCAAGAGCTTGGCTTTCACCGTACGCTATCATAAATTATTCTACTCCGAGGAAAGGAAAGACACGAGATGGGGAATTCTAACGTGTGGCAGGTCCTTTTACCACTGAGGTGTCGCAAACATTGAGAATCAGAAATCCTAATCGTACTCCTGTTGGTTTCAAGGTAGGGAAATCTGCTACTATGTCGTTGGCCGTTCTAGAAGTGCTAATGTGGTTTATTTTCAACAGGTCAAGACCACTGCGCCCAAACAGTTGGTTCTACTACACCTCACACCTTCGAAATATCGTTCTAATACTTGCGAATAGATACTGCGTGCGACCAAACTCTGGTAAATTGGAGCCGGGAAGAAGCATAGATGTCACTGGTATGCGCCGATTAGGATGGCAAACAGGACGTGGCTCGGGCTAATCTTGCTGGCATAGTTCTTTTACAGGCAATGAAGGATGAGCCACCTCTCGATGCGAAGTGCAGAGATAAATTCCTAGTTCAGTCTGTCGAGATCACACCAGATAAGGAGTTTGTTGATTCGCCCTCAAACGTACAGTACCCACGATATATAATCTATAGGGACTTTCCCTCACATGGATGTACACTAACTGTATTTCATATAGCATGTCGACCGAGCAGATAAGAAGGATATCCAAGAGAAGAAGATTCGAGTTGTTTTCCTCCCACCAAAGTCGACAGGAGCAGCAGCCAATACACCTTTGAGAAATGGTGTGAATGGAGCAAATAGTGCGGTATGTTCTGGTTCCTAGTGTACCATCCCCGAGGAAACGGAATTGACTAACACCAACATCTCTAGCTTTCAACCCCAGACACTGCCCCTCCAGCCTATCGATCAGTATCTCCCGAAGAACATTTCACCCCTGCAGCAAACCGTGTCGTACCAGGGAACTCAGGCCCAGCCCCCTCCGTCAGTATCAATGACGAGCCAATCGGCACTCGCAACCTCGGCGACGCTCGCTCTTCTGCTTTCAACCCCGCAGCTAGTACCGGCAGAGAAAGTAATGCATCCGCAGTCACCGCCCCAACCGGAATGCCTACCTCCGTTGAGGAACTCCAAGCCCAACTCATCGAAGCGAAGAAGACTATCGCATCCTACGCCGAACAAGGTGGTATGAGAATGAGAAAAGTGGCAAATGGGGAAACGTCAAATGAGACAGTCAATGAAATGGCTACCAAGTTGCAAGGTGTAGAGGGTGTACCTGTACAAATTGTCGCAGCTCTATGTTTGCTAAGCTTCTTACTCGCATACCTGTTCTTTTAACCTGAAGTTGGGTGTGCTTGTCTGCTCGCATTCTGACTTTTGGGTTGTGGTTTCTGGCTTTGATGGGTTATAGCGTTGCACCTCTCTCTTCCATTATTGTATAAGAGGACAGACACGAAGCGAAATAATCAATATTGGGTGTCTCTGGTGCTCTCGGGTGCTGTTGCTCTTAGGTACTGGTTTCTTGGGTTCTAGACCTCGTTCTTCTTCTTGTACTTTTGTGAAAGTATAAGTACAAGAGAAGAACCCTCTAATTTTACGACGATTCCTCCAATCATTTACATTTTCCTTGCTGTTGATTTTTTCTTTTCGTTTTCGATTTCCTCTCGCCACAGCTTTTGCATTACGAATGTACCACTTGTATTCTATTGCTTTTTTCAGACGAGTTCAGCCTTTTGACATAGTTTACTTTTCCTTTACGTTTTCTTTCTTTTGTTGCGGTGTGTGGAGGCTTCCACATAAGTGTTCGCCCAAAAACATGGGTGAAGGAAAGAGAGATGGGGAAGAGGCCAGAAGACCTGGATCTGGCTGGACTGGGCTGGGTTATGCTGGAATGAACCAAATCGGTAATATGGTATCGGATGTATGTAGCGACAGAGAGCGAGTAGACAATGGAGTGCTGGAATGAATGGTAGCGAGTTACATTTGATACACAGTAGGTAGTTAGTGAGGTAAGGTACAAAATCTCAGTTAAGTTGCGAAAGACAATTGCAGAAGTGACAATTGATATCAAGTATCTCTAGTATATTTGAAGAAATTTAAGTATGTGTACGCCGAAAACTGCATTCTATAACTCATCTCTTCTCATCTCATAATCGTATATACAAATTCAAATCAAGGATTACGTCCCTCCTTCCACTCGTAGAAGGAATCCTCTAAAACTCGAATCCCATTCTGTCTGAAATCTAAAAGAAAATAAAAAGTAGAAATCTAAGCCTGGATCTCCTGCTGTGTCCAGCCTCCGACTTTCCTTCCTCCTTCCTTCCTCTTAACTCTACACGTCATTCCAACCTCCTTATCCCACACAAACTGCCATATCACATAAATCCAACTCTCATGTCTTGGCAACTCTGCATAAAACTCCTTGGCTATCTCGTGCAGGGCGGGTAGACGTGTCCACGGAACAGCGGGGAAATCATGATGTTCATTATGCAATCCAACATTGTAGGTGAAGAAATTGAGAGGACCATAATAAGAAAATGTTTCTGGGATTTCGACACCGGTTTTTGGGTCGCGGGCCGCAAGGGGCTGACGCTCGAAAACGTAGTGTTCGGCGATGAAGTGTCCGGCGCAGGGGTGGAGGGAACCGGCCAAAAAGGCGGAGAGAATGAGGTAGTAGAGGGAATTGTAGGAATTGGTTGATTTTACGAGGAGGATGTCGAAGACGACTTGTACGAAGATGTTGATGATGTGGATGGAGGTGAAAGGGACGGCGTAGACGAAGATGGGGCGGATGGCGTAAAATAGGATTTGGAAGGTGCAGAAGAAGGCTTTTCCGAGGAGGGAATCGAGGAACAGGGCTTCGAAGCGGGTGGGGAGATCGGTGTCTAGACCGTCGACGCCGAGGGATTTGTGGTGGGTAAGATGGTATGGCTGGGGATTTGTTAGTTTTTGGGAAATTGGAGGGGTTTGATAGATGTAAACGTACTCTGAAAGAAGCAGAATAAGGAATTCCAATAGGAAGATTTGCAAAAATCGCCAGCGCCCTATTCAAATTTGGGTTTCTAAATGCCAAATTGTGAGATATTTCGTGGATGGCGAGGAATAGATTTTGATTTGCGGTTGCGCCAATGATATAGGCAGTAAGGAAGAACTTCCAGGAGAGGAAAGGTGTATTGCGGAGGAGGTAGGCGCAGAGGACCTGGATTGATACAACGAGGAGAACGACATATTTGGTGAGGGGTTCAGGTCCGCAGAGTTTAGTTACCTATAGGGATGGGATTAGTATCTGTTCTTGATTGAGGGATAATAATAGGGAATTGAGATAGATAGTTACCTCAGGATGAGCTTTAATGATAGCTAAACGTCTGCTTCGATGAGGTTCCTCGGTATATGTCCAAAAGAAATCATGTTCTTTCACATCAATATCTTGTCGTGGAGGGGCATCTTCATTCTTTTCTGAAACACCTCCTGCTCCATTGGTTCTTAATCGTGGGGTGGTTGATCCCGAGGTTGTAATCGTAGAAGTAGCTACTGGCGGCATGATGAAGGATTGTTGTTATGCCACTCTTAACAACTTTTTTGAATATGGCTATATGGTGGCGTGGTGTTGTAGATAAAAGGTGTTTTGAACTGGAGAAACTGGATAAATAATATTCACCGATCATTCGAGACTACGTTTCGCTACCAGATTAGTTTCGTACCCTTTTCGAAGCTTTGTGGACTGTTCTTTGGATCGATTTTCAGGGGTACAAGGGGTTCAAGCCTCAAGGGTGACAGTTGGGTGGACCGTGCCTCAGGACTAAGACCCACTGACATTTATTATTCATTATACGGCGTAGTATTTATCATCATCTCTGCTCTGTGCTAATATGGCTTCTCAGCTACACTTCAAGCTACGTCTCGGTTAATCTGTAAGCTGATCTACGACTTTGAAGATTCAACTGCAATATCATGGAGCAAGATACCTGCAAAGAATTGGCTCAATATATTGCTCCTGGGTTTGATTACCCTCGTCCACCTCGTAATGCTGTTAGCCACGAGGAGACATTCACTAGCCTTTCTACTCTCACCATCGATCTTTTGCTCTGTAGCAAGGTGGTGAGCCACGAGCCCGCCATAGTTTTCTATAATAGGAACACACTTTCTTTTGAGGGAGATCATAACTGGGATCCTGTTGTTCATTGGCTGAAGACCATTGGTACTGACAATCGAAATTCTCTTGCAATGCTGGAGGTATGTGGCAAGCGACCCGATCAAGTGTGGCAAAATTACTGTGGAGAGCGTATCCACCATCCTTTGAAGCTTTCAAATGAAGAAATATACCTTAGGCATCCAGACTTTGCCACCCTCATAGATGATTTCAAATATGGCTGCGTCGACAATATCAACCCGACTTTAGAGGAAATTCTTGTATTGTTGGGACAGCGGGTCTCTAACAAGAAAGTTACTATTATCATGCAAACTGGTAGATTTTACCCCGGTGGAGGGACCGATCCTGTTGAGCCCGATGAGCTATTCCCAGAAGACGGCTGGTACAGTATGGAGCTGCCAAACTTGATAGAAAAGTTTCTAGAGCTTCATTCCACTTACTCGAACAAGCGTTCAGTGGAGGGGATCTGGAAAGGATTGTCAGATAAACGAGTCCTCGAGACAGAGTTCATGGAATGTCTTTGGTGGAATGTCTCCACCTTCCCCGTCGAAAATGAAGAAGCACTTGCTATGTTTGGTAAATATCACAACAAAGACGAGAGTTATGCTAGGTACACACTGGAGAGAAATAAACTCACGGAGCCACTTATAACTCAAGATCCTTCGCCCTTTTCAGACATTTATGTATACTCACAGATCAATAGGGAGGATTATTTGTAAATACAGAAATATCTTCGAATTATCGATACACGTCATCTGCTTGGTATAATAGTATAAGTTCATCTTTATCGTCTGATAACAACTATACGAGTCTGTTATGACTACTTAATCAATTGCGACGACTGTACAATTAACATCAATGCCAAGTGGTGGCATCCGCGACAAATGCCGCTTCATTCTCAATAGTGTTTCCATTGATTGGGGAATTAGTTGGGTATTTTGTCTCATTCGCTGCAAGATATACAAGATTTAGATTGTTGAATTAGTCGCTAGGTGTGTGGCTATTAGCAAATTCCTACTATTATGTATTTTTCGAACATTGTTCTTGACAGTCGGGTTGAGAAAGAGAAGGGTACGCCTGGGAATGGTGAGACTTGATCTACTCTCAATAAGTGAGAAAAGTATACTTTGGTTGGGGGGGGGGCGAGGTTGCTGTGTAGTCTTGTTATGTAGAAAGATACTTCAGGAGGATTTGTAGTTCTAAACCTTCAGTTTTCATCTATGTTGAATTTTTTTTATCTTTAAGAGACAGAATTAAATTCTACCTATAACCTTTTATGTGTTTTTGGTGAAACTGGGCAAACCACAACAGCTTTGTCTTGACCGCATGATATTCTGAAAATCGTGAGCCTCATGACAACACAAACCTGGGTATTTAGGTCAAACTTGCTTAATCTTAACTAATGTTTCTGTAAAACCATGACCTTCAAAGGTGGAATCTTCTACTAGTTGCGTGAAGAAAATCCTAGATGCTGTCATTTTTACACTACATACACTTTATGAACATTCGACAAACCAAAGAGATTAGAAAAGAGATGTGGTCTAGTGGATAAGATATCTTTCTCGGAGTTAAATCTCAGGGTAGAGAGGCCGAAGGCGCTACTAGCGACTCGGCACGATTCTCTAAGATTTGCCGTGAGATCATTTGACGGTAGTTCGAATCTATCCATCTCTCTTTCTATTTTTCTCTCTCCTCTGAAACTGGATTTTAAGGAAGATTCTAGGGTGGAAAGTGAAACGAAGGATGGAAACGAGGGGCAGAGGAAGGGGAATTGTGGAGTGCATGGCTGCTGGTTTTATTTGCCTTTCGAGGCAAGTTAACAGACCAACAGAATGCTTTATTATTTCCCTTTCCCTTTATTCTAGATATAAGCCACCAAGTTGTATAGGATAACGCAAGCCAAAGAAGGATATCAAAGCTGAAGGGGATGTGGTCTAGTGGTTAAGACACCTGCCACATAGCTTGGGTTGGATGAGCCAGCGCAGTCTCTCGGGATGCGTGGGTCCTGACCCTGCCGTGAGCACAGGTGACGATAGTTCGATTCTATCCATCTCTATTATTATCTTTCTCGTGACACCAAGGTGTGGAATATTTGTATTCCCAAATAGATGGTAGTTGGGGGTTTTGCTTCTGAGATTTTCAAGTCGAGGCTTCGAAGCTTTTCTCCTTCCAGTGGCATATTGATCGATATTGACGAGAAGATCAATATATATTAGAGATATGGTCCAGTGGTAAGACATGTATCATGAGGTGGGCTTTTCGAGCTAAGTTGCGCGTCTTTCGGACAATTCATAGGTATGTGCTTTTCGAGCAATTCTTATGAGTAGTGACTTCATCTTTAGAATATGAGACGATAGTTCGATTCTATCCATCTCCATTTTTTGCCATTGGTCTGCTCAATGGTTTCTATTTCAATGCTTTTTGTTTAGTATGTATGTATGTTTGGATGGGCTTTTGACAATGAGAAATCTCAATCTGTTTCTTTCATCTATTTAATCATGCGAGACTTTTTGAATCGTATGACGGGATCACCTGGTCATTCAATGTAATGAATGCAGCATGTTGAGATCAAACATCAAACAAAGAATGGTAGAAGGTATGGTCTAGTTAAAATGCATACTATATGCGAAGTGCAATGTAGAAACGAGACTGAAAGTGAACTCATCGCAGATATTTTGCGTGCATGCAGCAATAGTCTAGTTATGTCTGACTTTTGCAGCATTCTAAAAATAAAAGTGATTGTCTCATCTGTCCAAAACTTGATAGCTCTAAACAATCTCATGCGATATGGAACACACTCTTGTGAATCAAAGATGTGAATACATTGTTGGGAAACAAATTCTGGGAAGATTTTATACGGTATTATAAATCAAGAATTCTAGACTCGAAAGAGATTCTCTACAATGCAACTGCTATTTGACGCAGTATATGTCATTTGACCATGATTTCTAGGCTCTGTTTTATCATCTTTCGCTTAGTCTCATCGTGTCTCCATACTCTTGACTGTCAATTTTATCATCTCACGTCTCTAGGATAGGAGATACAATCAACTTAAACTCTTTCCATGCAAATAAAGAAGTATGACGTGTGTTCCGGGTGATACTTCCTTCCCAAATCTCACAACATCCCTTCCTAACCCTAGGGATCTTGCACCTAGCCCCCACTGTTAGTACATTGGACTAGATTAACTCAAGTATCACCAAAGATGAGTACGAATATACAGACAGATCACAGGAGTATAGATCGAAAACCAAAAAACCGCTTTGAGTATGACTCACTTCCCAAGTGTTTGAAGTTCGAGGAAGTTTCTCGAAGCAATCTACTTGTCTTGTGCAGCTAAGACATGTAGAGAGCTCCTTGCTGATGACGACAAAGATCAGATTATCAGAGAGCTTTATCGTGAGTACGGAAGATGTGTGTTCGAGTCTTGCTATGCCTATATATTGAGCATATTTCTTGGTAAATCATTTCTCTGTATGCAATCGTTTTATGGATTTGCTTGGAGGATATGAGACGAGCAGTAATAAGATTAGCTGCTAAATAACAATTTGATAAGTAACTATGATTCTGCACAATCGTGGCTTTGTGATAGGTGCTTTAAGTGAGCTGTTTTTACAACTTCTTCGTCTCAACAATAAAGACAGCGTTAGAATTTCAATTCGTGTGCAGTCTAACTGAGTCCATAAAGACCGTGACCTATCAATTTATTCAAGAAGCTTTGAAATGATTGGAGATATGCAATATGGATGTTCATAAATTGGTTCACACTTCCATGATTTCCTCTTTGAGGTGTCGAAGATGGCGGGGGTAGCTTCCCCTTTTATTTTATGGGGCTGGGGTTCGGATAAAGACCCCACTTAAGTTTCATCTTTCAGCAGACCAGGGATTATTTGACCCTTGAGTATATCGCGACGTCATGAGAGTTTATTTCACAATATTTTATGAGATGGCTCAGCGCGTCATGGATTGACCAATGGCTGAGGAACAGGCAAAAACTGGAAAAGCTCAACAAAATCCTTTTGGTATGTGTAACAAAACACACGAGCCGCTCATCCGGTTGTCCGGTACTCTCGGGAGATCATTGGTGAGCCGGACCCCTGAAACGGTTCCTGGATGTTGCAATGTACTATAAGATACAGATGTTCATCTCATTCAGGGTACAGTTTGGTTCAGGTGTATCGTGCAAAAGGCAGTGCAAAAAGAGAAGTTGGTCAGCAAGTAAAAGTAAATTCTTATCTGTATATGATATTCTCTAACAGAATGGGAGAGATATTTTTGGATGGACTGGATTTGGTGAATTCAAATGTTGCGCTTTGTAGATTGATGACTCAGAAGAGGAATCACATTTTACTATCACATCTCCGACTTTCTATATTCATTCATCTATAATCTCGTATGAAGCAGATGTTGGAATACTACTTCCGCCCTGTTGACAATAGTAGCATATCTCAACCAGCCATCACCTTATTGCAAGTGAAAATAGGTCCAAACCCGAAAAGACATACTGCATCGGCAGGGTATCTCCACGAGGTCGTTGTCAGCGCTAACGACCGCTAAGCCCCCTCATGTCCCGCCTAACTATCTCAGGCTTAGCAGACTTCAAAACTCTCATCGATGAAAGAAGTGCTATTGGAGAGCGACGACTACTAATAGAGGCCGCTCAAGTCTTAGATTTCAAATTCATACACTTCCATCTCTCTTATATTTCCAATCTACCTTGAAGAAACATCTGTTTAGCTGAAATAGTCACAAAATGGCGTACCCCAAGAACGTTGGCATTAAAGCCATGGAAATCTATGTCCCAGCACAGGTAAATTTCCAAGCACTCCCACGAAAGTTACTTCATGATGCTGATTAGAAAAGTGTTTGGATCAAACATTGTTTGAAAAACATCAAGGTGTTTCGGCTGGTAAATATACCATTGGATTGGGCCTTCAGTATATGAACTTTTGTACCGATAGAGAGGGTAAGTTCGTACCATTGAAACTCATCAGCCAATTCAAGCATCATGCAATACTCACGAATTTTACCAGATGTCTGTTCCCTAGCTCTAACAGCTGTCTCTTCACTCCTCCGAAAATTCGACATTGACCCAAATTCTATTGGGCGTCTTGAAGTCGGAACTGAATCACCCATCGACAAAGCCAAATCTGTCAAATCAGTTCTCACTACTTTATTCGAGCCACATGGTAACACAAGTCTCGAAGGAATCGACACGATACACGCCTGTTACGGTGGTACGAATGCCCTATTCAATGCGGTCAATTGGGTAGAGTCTCGTTCATGGGATGGTCGAGATGCCATTGTTGTTGCATCCGATATAGCCCTCTACAAAGAGGCCGCTTCTCGACCAACTGGAGGAGCTGGTTGCTATGCTTGTTGGTCCAAATGCACTGTTATCTCTCGATCCGGGCTTGAAAGGTGTCTACATGACTCATGCTTATGATTTCTACAAGCCGGATACTAAAGTCGAGTTTCCTATTGTGAACGGCCATGAATCTATCGGTTGTTACATTGGCGCTTTGGATGCATGCCACAAGAATCTACTTGAGCGAATTAAGGCTAGAAGCAAACGCAACTGCGATGAGCCCAGCAGCGTGCCCAAGAAGGTTCTTGAACTTTTCGATTACATGGCATTCCATACTCCAAACTGCAAATTAGTGTCTAAATCGTTCGGTCGACTTAAGTACAATGACTGTCTCATATCGACCGATGATGCTGAGTGGGTAGGTATTCCCGATGAACTTCGCAAGTTGAGCCATTCGGAGTCTCTCAAGGATAAGACGCTGGAAAAGACTCTTGTGTCAATCACAAAGGATGAGTTCAAGAAGCGTGTCGAGCCGTGCATTGCTGGCCCTTCTTTATGCGGTAATATGTACACAGGAAGTTTGTACTTTTCTCTCATTAGCTTGATAAGCAACATTGATCTCAAAGCTGCAGAAGGCAAAACCATCGGCTTGTTCAGTGTGAGTAGATGGATTCATCTTTTTTCAACCCCCCAAAGCATTTTACTGACCCGAATCCACCATCTAGTTTGGAAGTGGCATTGCCAGCTCACTGTTTGGTATGAAAATTACCGGTGATCTTACAGACCTGGTCCAAAAAGTCAATTTGATGGATCGTCTTAAGCAAAGACACATCGCGACGCCCGAAGAGTACGAAGAGGTGAGACTTTAGCTTTCAGTCCGTTTAGATAATATACTAACTTGACACAAGGCTTGTTCTCTCCGGAAGAATGCATACGGAGCTAAGGATTTCAAGCCTCTTGGCGATGTGAACTTCCTGGCTCCTGGAACATACTACTTGGAGAATGTGAACGATGTGTATAGAAGAACTTATGCCATAAAGCAGTGATAATTCAAGCAAGATTGTATCGGGCCGGGTGATAGTTCATGAGACGCTTGTACGAGGAAGATATAGGGTTGGCATATTCAATAGAACCAGAAGACGAGAAAGATGGATCTAACTACCTAGTCAATATCATAATTAATGAGATTTAAAACAGACAATGCAGCGTACCATGGTCGGAGTTGCATCTATACATAGCAAAAGATTAATTGTATATCCTCTAGAAAATGTGAAGAATATGCTTCTGACCACTATTTGAGTACTCTTCATAGTGACCGAGTTTGTGTTGCCACTTGGACGAGACAAAAAGCACTTATAACGGCAATAGTAAAGACCACTCAAGTAGCTACCAATCATTTCGTACTCAAGAACCTTATAGTATGCAACAGATGGGCTATTGGCAGTGCTTTCCCTTCCGTTGCGCAACAGAGCTCTAGCACCCGCTGTTTTCATCCTTCTCATCCTTCTCATCCTTCTTTCTGTTGGCAATCCACCCAAAAAGACCCATCATTCCAAAAAAGCAAAAACATACAACAGTGGGGATTCGCTGGTGGTCACCCACCCAACTACTAATCCACCGATCTGAAGCTTGTGTATGGCAGAGCGGACGGGATGCCCAATTCTCTTCAGTCTATGGTCGTATGTGGCAGAATATTGTAAACCTGGGTATATGTAGCATAGAAGGTCAACAATGAGTCAAATACTCTGCCATATGATACTTACATACACCCCGGGTTACTTTGCTGAACCTCTTACAACCAAATTTCTCCTCAACCACTTACGCAAGTACAAAGAAAAATGGTAGGAGCTATGGCTAGGAGATACCAAATCGGATATCGATTGTGTACTTCATGCCGTCTCATCGTCTACCATTTTCAGACTTCAGAGGTCACCATCCTCTCAGCCCCGAACCCATTCAGGATGAGAAACCAGCAAATCATCAAAATAGCGAATATTAAATATGCCAATAACACACTGGCAGTGACAGTCTCCAACAGTCTCACGATTTCTGACATGAACCAGAAATCAAACATGTAGAGCAAGATACACAATGGATTAGGTGATTACTTAAGCACGCAAACTTAGCCAGACAATAGACTATCGCCAAATACGCTCGAAGCGTCGGCAAACGTTGCATAAAGAGTATAGTGCGCGCGAATTTTGAGAAGCACTGAAGTGCTTCCCCAAAAGATGACACTTTGTTGGAAGGCTACGTACGAAGACCTGTTCTTAAGGATAACGATATAACAAATATACTGCCAACCGCCTAAGAAGCCAAGAGAATTCGCCCCCCACAGGCGCCCAGAACTCTTCATTTGACAGGAATTTGACAAAAACTTAATATCGCTCGGCATCCAGGTAGTTCCATTCTAATTTGGGTGCAGAGGTTCATCTTTATGGTCACTCTGCAAGGGTAGGTTGGAGAAAACCATGCCTAGACAGCTGAGTGATATTATTGATCAGAAGAGCGCGGAAATTTCTTCAGCAGGGCTGAGTTCGAGGCTCTCCGCAGGTTGATAGAGGGGGACCTCTAGTTAACTTCGAATATCTGGATGTTTGAAGATATCTGGCTTGTTGAATATCAGAAAAATGTAGCAAATGCTATCGATGGATGCAAAGAATTAGGCATTAAGATGTGCTTCGATTGCAAGAAAGGTGATGTCGAAATCATTTCTGGGAAAATAGCGAAGCCTCAACACAAAAATTCCAACATTAATTCCAACATCGTTCCTCTGATCTGAACCGCGGTTGCAGCGACCATAAAAGCAGACCGAAATTCTAGAACGAGTCCGCTTACGTAATCTCTACCAATCGCTACCTCAATTGGACAATCAGCGGTGCGGGCCATATACGCGGGTCGCGTCCGCCTGCAGGCGCGTTTTGTCTCATTAGTATATCAATTGGCATGGAAGAACATCATAAGTTCCATTTCCATCCACACAGCATCCCACCATCATGTTCAGTATGTTGCAGACTCCTGTGAGCGCACACAAGCAATTACGCCATTATTCACCTCATGTACCATCGCCATTATCCTCATCACCTTTACGATCTTCTCCGCCCGTATCGCCGCTGGAGCCCCGCAACGCGAATTTACCAACGAGGATACAGCAGGCTGGAGATTTTCAAACTAGTTTCATGATGTCACCTGAATCTGGTGCTTCCAAAACCTCAAGTCCTGATAAAACCCACTCTAATTCAAACAAACATTCACCGAATAGAGAAGGTGCATTTTCGAAAAGAATAACGAAGACGAATCCGTTATTGCATGGACAAGGCGATGGAAGAGAGACACGAAGAAAGCTGTTCTTGAGAAGGGTTAGAGAAGATTCGGAGGATAAAAGATGGAAAGCGAGAGGCGGTGATGATGAGATGATGAGAACTATTTGGATTGCAGAGCAAAGGAGGCGAGCGGAAAGACAAGCTAGAGATGCGCAGGGCTGGGCTGTTGATGCTGATGAGCAGGAGATGCAACAGGATTACGGCGCTGGAAATTTAAGTCTCGGTATGCTTATTCTATCTAAGACTTTATTCATGAATGAGTTTGCTGGAATTGGGTTAACAATGGTTGCAGATGAGATCATGGCCGAGGAAGTGGCAAGGAACGAGGAAGAAGAATTAGACGCTTTGTTGTCATCTATGACCGAAGCCGAAAGAAGACAAACTCTGGATGAAGCGTATGAGAATGTCTCGACACTCGACGAAGAAATTGGTCCAATTGATGATCAGGAAGCAACTGCTTGGGCGCGAGGAGAATTCCAACATTTTTCAGACCAACACAATATGACTGTTATGGATGTTGAGCGACATGTCAATAGTTCCTCGCCTGATACCCACTTTGGTAGCGACGATGGTGATTACGACGCCATTTTCATGGACGTTATACAACAGGAATCGTATATCTCGTATCAAGATAACCAGTCCATGGATGTGTCAGGAGACCATGAAATGATGGACACGGAGATGAGTTGAATATGGTACATAATGGTGCATACCGATACATATTGACACGATATTGTTTATGATAGATTGGAGGGTTTTGCTGTTAGCGTTGGTGTTTCAAACGGCTAGGGCCTGGTCGGTGTTTTGGTATGGTAAATGGATCGAATCATTTGGTGTTTGATTTTGAGATTATTGGTCATGGTATCACTGGTTTGTTAATATACACGAGTTACTATCACTAAGATATGGGTATTTTATTGTGTTGGGCAGCCTTCTTCTGGAGCCCCAAAAGCTTCTTGCGCTGCAGCCATATCTCCAACCAGATCTGCTGGTGGTGAGCCTGCTGCTTGCATCTGTAAATAATTAGCAGCGCGCCGCGATATGATATGACAGCTGATACACACCTTTTGCATTCTTTCTACAATATACTCTCGATCCGAAGCATTCTCATCCTTGTAGGTATTTTGCTCGAATCTAGCGACAATTTCCCTAACAAAAACTTGCTGTTCCTTGTATCGCTTTAGATCATCTGCTGGAGTACTGGCAGAGTTCTTCTCCAACCACGCGGGGAATTTATCATCCAATTCCTTCATCGGTTCGTATAATATCTCCTTATTAGTTAACTGCTCCATCATACCCAAAAGCATTTTCGAGAAATCCTCCTCACTGCCCTCTCCGTCCATACCACCAGCTCCCATAGCCTTCATCATCTCCGCTAGTAAATCGTCCGAGTTGTCCTCTGCTGCTGCAGCTGTCGCTTGATCCCCAGAAGCTTGCATTCTTTCCATCGTTTTCTTAATAGTTTCCTGGAATGTTTCCTCACTAGCTGAACTCGGGGCGGTTTTAGTCTTGGAAGGTCCGGGTTTTGGCGCAGATGGCGGTGGAGGTGCTGGTCCATTTTCCCCTAATCCACCCATCTCCTTCAGCATACTTTCAAACTGTGCCTGCATTTCTGGTGATGTCTCGAGTTCTCCCATTAGTTCGGCCATGCCGGCTTGTAACTGCTTTGCGAAATCATCGTCAGTGAGTTCTTCACCGCCGCCGAGAAGAGGGTCGTCCGCGACGGGTGGTTTCTCGGGACCAGAGGTTGCTGTTGTGGAGGTTGGTGCTGGTGCTCTCGATTCTGGCTTCGCAGCGTTGAACTCATCCAGCATGTCTAAGAATTTATCAGAATCTCATTTTCATATCTAGCATTAGATCAAATGATGTACCATCTAAATCATCTAAATCATCCTCGTCCGGATCTGGAACGTCCTCCCACGCCGCAGTAGCATCCGCAGCCTGTGTTTCAGAAACTGTACTTGATTCGCCAACCAAAGCTTTTGTCGAAGACTCTGCCAGTCCCGCGAGATCCCCAGGTTTCGACTCCATGTTTAATAGATGCTAGAGGAAACTCTATAAATCCTTTGCTGGGATCTTCAAAGGTGGGTATTCTTCTGCAGGCCGAAATGAATACGGCCAGTATGTGGAAAGTGCGGGGTATGATTGCGCCGGAAACGGTATGTCTAGGTAGTCTAATATTCAGCGAAAACTTAGACTTTATATATTTGAATATTGGGTTCTAAGAATTTAAATCATCTTGCGACGTACATTAGGCATGAAGATCATGAGATGAGAAGACTAGGCCGAGGCTGTCAATTCTGGTGTCGGGCATTGTTGATAGTGGGGGTCCTCCGAGCTAGTGAATTGTACTTCTTTCTTTTGCCTTGTCTGGACGCTTCATAAATTAACGAATCTTGAGCCTCGTAGCTAGCAACCACCAAACCTTTCCATAACAACTTATTCTTCTGCGTTTGTAGAAATACAAAAAGTAGCATTAACTCTTTGGGCTTTTGGTCTCTATCGATAGCCAGTTTGACAAAGTCTTCTCCAATCTCAAATTCTGAGTTGCGCTTTCCTGAACAAAATCCAGCCTCATCTTCAAAATGACGCTCTGTCTCAATCGTCTCACGGAGGAACGGTAAGGTTTGCACAGTTTGGAAATCTGGAACGAAGTCTAATGGGATCTACAGTAAGCAATGGCGAAAGGATCATCCATTTGGGTTTTCTGCAAAGCCTATTCGCAACCCCGCCACGAACACCATTGATATGAAGATTTGGGACTGCGGTGTACCTGGCAAGGCTGGCACACTATGGGAGGGAGGTCTTTTCAAGCTGAATATTATCTTTCCAGATGGTAAGTCCTTTTACTCACATTCACGACATAGTTATGGATCTGCGCTAATATACAATTTATAGAATACCCAACCAAACCTCCAAAGTGTATGCGACTTCACATTATTTCCATATTTGACATCCGATCTAGAACTAACAAACAAACAGGCAAATTCACACCACCTCTCTTCCACCCTAACGTCTACCCCTCTGGCACAGTCTGTCTTTCGATTTTGAACGAAGAAGAAGGCTGGAAGCCTGCCATCACCATCAAGCAAATCCTCCTTGGCATCCAAGAACTCCTCGATACCCCCAACCCCGATTCTCCTGCCCAAGCCGATGCCTACAATCTCTTCAAGAAGGACAAGTCCGCGTACGAGAATAAGATCAAGCGCATCGTAAAAGACAATCCAGCTCCTTAGGGGGGCAGGGAAATGCACATGCGATAGTAAAGGCGATGGATTTATTTGGCGGGAAGTATTGGCGTTCATTGGGCACATAATCTTTCAAAGCATAAGGGGATATCAATACGGGCGTACCTAGCAGCGGAAATACGTTACTTTGATGCAGCGCTTTGGTCAAAGAAGTTTACTGAGTACCCTAGATGAGTTACAGTATCTATCTACTCAATGGGACATGGGAAAAACATGAAGAAAATGAGCTTTTTCAATCTATACCACCTCTTCGTTACTTTGTTGTGTTATGATCTACCAGTCTCCTCTGTCCCTTGAGTCACCTCGTGGAGAAAGCTACTTGCGTCTATCCATCGATCGATCCATACATATGTGCCCATAGTCTAGCATTCCAGAAACACTACCACCCACAATTATGACTGTATCCCGCCAAGCAATTTCCTCTAGGAAAAGATATCATAAAATTCCAGAACCTCGACATCTAGCTGTTACTCACCCAAAGGCAATTGACACCAAAATTAGCAATGCTGCAACATCATTGGTTCTACTGAATCGCTATCAGTAAAATAAAGGGCTCAAGCCACATAATGCACCTTCGGTATCCTTGCCACAATCCACATCCGACTATCGGCCCATGAGCTAAGGTAATTTTGTAATATTTTGGAGCCAAGGTAAGTCATGCACATACCAAAACCACTGAGCATCGAAACTATTACTCACAGGCAGTTTTTATTTGGGTACATAACTTTCTTCTCTCCCATTTTTTGAACTTCTTTTCTCTAGAGCTTATTTTACATTTCACATTAAACGGATTTACATATACGAATTCAAGATGTGTGGTATTTTTGCTTGTCATTGGTATGTATCAATTGTCTCTATTTACAATTGGGAATGCGATTTTTTAATGATAGTGGGGGCCCCGCGATGGATTTTGAGAATTAACAATTGTATAGTCACCCAGATGTTAAGGCTTTCAAGCCTACGGCCTTGCGAATGGCGAAGCAGTGAGTGATTCTGTTCGAAGGAGGGAGCTGGAATTGGAGAACTGACTGTGAAATCTAGAGTTCGTCATCGTGGACCAGACTGGAGTGAGTCACCTATGGTGAAAAGGGATGTTTGGACTTGAGACTGATGATAATAATTAGGTGGAAACGTTATTTCCAACAACACAAGTACGTTGCGCCTAGGGAAATGGGTCTTGTAGGAGCTTTGACTGATCGATTGACTGTAGTTCTTGCGCATGAGCGTTTGAGTATCGTTGGCGTTGGTAAGTTTTCACCGCTGAAATCTGCATTGATATACATAGACTGACAATAATCTAGAGAGTGGAGCGCAACCAATCACCAACGCAGACGATACCCTCGTACTCGCAGTCAATGGCGAAATTTATAACCACAGAGTCATCCGTAAGGGACTCAAGAACCAATACCACTTCAAGACACATTCCGATTGCGAAGTCATAATACCACTGGTGAGAAATTCGAAGGAAAGAGTTGGATTCATGACTGAACATTTGTTAGTACATGGAACATGATATCGATGCGCCAAAACATTTGGACGGAATGTTCTCATTTGTTTTATACGACAAAAAGCAAGACCGCACAATTGCTGCACGCGACCCCATTGGCATTACCAGTTTCTACCAAGGATGGTCGAGCAAGACACCAGGAGCCGTATACTTTGCATCTGAACTGAAATGTTTGCACCCTGTCTGCGACAAAATCATTGCTTTCCCTCCAGGACATGTTTATGACTCAAAAACCGAAAAGACAACAAGGTATTTCGAGCCATCTTGGTGGGACCCAAAGAACGTTCCATCAACCCCAATTGATTACAAGCTTTTGAGAGAAACACTTGAAATGTCTGTTCGTAAGCGTCTCATGGCTGAGGTTCCTTACGGAGTTTTGTTGTCCGGAGGTCTCGACTCGAGTTTGGTGGCTGCCATCGCTCAAAGAGAGTCTCTACGCCTAAAAGCCGCTACGCTAGCTGCAATTGAGAGCGGAAGCGGAACTGCAACACCAACCGCAAACGAGGACCAAGGAGAAGGACTTGTTGGTATTGATGACGATAACAAATTGTCGACTCTCACCTACCTTCCTCAACTTAACTCCTTCTCCATTGGTCTACCAAACTCCCCTGATACCAAGGCTGCGAAAGAAGTTGCCAAGTTCCTTGGTACCAAGCATCATGATATGACTTTCACCATTGATGATGGTTTGAACGCGCTTTCTGATGTTATTTTCCACTTGGAAACATATGATGTAACAACTATTCGTGCATCTACTCCTATGTTCCTTCTCTCGAGAAAGATCAAGGCTATGGGTGTCAAGATGGTATTGAGTGGAGAAGGTAGCGACGAGATCTTTGGAGGTTACCTATACTTCCATGCTGCACCAGATAAGGCAGCTCTTCACGAAGAGACCGTCCGCAGAATCAAAAACTTACATTTGTCTGACTGCTTGA